TAAGTACAGAAATGGATTTTTCTAAATGAGGTTTATAAATTTCCCTGAATCTACTCAATGCACATTTTTGCCAGCTTTGTTTCCCTTGAAAGCTTTAATGTAGGTTTACATTGAAGCTTGCATTGAAGAGATTTTATATGAAAAGAAAGAACAATTTCAGAAATTAAATTGTGGTTCTGAAAACACCTGCAAATGCAATTACTTGGGATGTGTGCAGTCTTTAGATATGTATTTTTTATTGTATTATATGCAAGTTATAAAATTTCAGGTGATTTAGTATAACCAAAATTTCAAATTTAAAAAGCTACCCAGAAGTTGTGATAACGTACCACTTTGAATGAGACAGGTGAATAAGAAATAATGGTGTATTCACATGAGCTTCTGATAATCCCTGATAAACTAGGCATTTCCACTGGAAATATTTGGGGAATTCTGATACAGCTGGGTCACAAACATTCCACCCTACAAACTTTCCTAGTGGAAAATGTAGTTCAAACATCCTCTGGGTTCAGCTGAAGCAGAGCAGAAATTTTGTCTGTCAGTTTTAATTATAAGGAATGAAAGTCAAAATTAGCTGGTGGTAGGTAAGATCCTTTGCAACAGAGCACAAAAAGTGTAGTTGCTGCATCAAAGCTTGCATTTGAACTTGTTCAAAATGTTGTGTTGCTCCAAATCATTGGTTTTTTTTCAGTACTATGCCTAATTTCATATCTTTATAGGTGATAGACAGGATCTCGTGGTTCACATTTTGTACTGATATGTTAATTTGAACAATAGGACTTGGAAAAAGCAGTAGGTAAAATATGAGTAGTTCACATAGTAGGCAGGAAACCACACCCTAACAAGACAACTTCTTTTTGAAATCCAAGAATTTGAGGAAACCTTCCCCATCCTGCGTCCTACTCGGGTAATTCCAAGGTCTAGACCTGAAAATTATTTAGAACAGAATAGATAATTTAGAATAGAATAGATAATTGTGGTTGGAATTGACCTCTGGAGATCATCTAGTCCAACTTCCCTGTTCCAGCAGGGCCTTCTAAAAAGTTGCCCAGTACCCTGTCCAGCTGGATTTTGAACATCTCTGAGAATGGAGACTCCATAACTTCTTGGGCAACCTGTGCCCAAGCTTGCCCAAGCAACCTGTACCTGAAGCTCGGTCTGCTTCACAGTACAGAAAATGTTTCCTGATGTTCAGACAGAATGTCCTGTATTTCAGTTTGTGCCCATTGTCTCGGGCCCTCTCACCTGGCCCCACTGAAAAAAACCTGGCTCCATCTTCTTCACAATTTCCCTTCTGGTAATTGTACACATTCATAAGACCCAAGCTACCAAGCCCAAAATCTTGTTCAGATAGCAGTTGTCTTTGGGGTGCTGTGGTGCGGTTGCAGTACCTGGTTTCCTCTCCTAGGGTGTTAGTTACACCTCATGATTCAGGCCATCGTAAGTGATCCAAAAGGCTTCTTTGACCTTCCCTTTCACGAAGTATTTTAAGCTTTTGTCTACATCTGCATGCCCTATGTTTTCAGGCTCTTTTCTGCATTTATTATTGCTATTAAGCAATATCTTTATGTTTATTTTTTTTAATAGAAGCTGAGATTTTTATGCAGTTTAGTGATACCAATGGCTGGTTTAATTGTGTTGTGACTAAATTTAGAAAAATTACCTTTTGCCAGCTAAATAGCATGTATACTGAGAATGCAGTGCTGCAGTGCACAGTACAGTATGGAGGCAGGGACTAGGCTAAGGTGCAACCTAAAAAGAGAAAGGAAGTGGACCCTTCTTCCTCCTCACCTCACTTGTTGAAAGTACAGAAAGACCTTCCCCTTCCCTTAGCTGCTACAATAACTCCACAGAGAGGATGCGGTCATAGATCCATACTATTAGAATTGAAAAGGAACAACAAACACCACCAAGACTGTTTTCTTATCGTTTATGTGCACACCTAAACATTGCAATAAAAATGCCAAGACTGAAAAAGAAGGCATAACCATATGTTGAACTGATTCCCAAAAATCCTACTTTGAAACTAGTATGAAATGTAACCTGTTTCTATGGTTCATTACCATTCATCATTTCAGCCAATGAAAATCTTATTTTCCCCATATTTTGTATTTTTCTCATATGTGTTTGCCACCATTTGGTTTGAATATAAGCCATTTGAACATGAGATATTGCAAATATATAAAATGGCCCCAAATCTTTTTTCTTGTCTCTAGCCATTCTGTTTTGGAAAAGCCAACAAAACCCTGGCAGCAACAACAAAACGAATAATTTTGGATGTAAGGTCTGTTTACTTTGGAAAAGATCAGCATTTTGGTGCATCAGAATGTTGCCAGATCAGCTTTCTCCTTTCCAACAGAGATGATCCTGACTTAGGAGTTTTGCAACACAGATCAAAGGGAAGAATTTTGTCCAGGCTGCTTTTACTGCAGGTTCTGTTGGTAATTACAGTTCTGGTCTAGGACACTGTAAATGGCACCCTTTCTTTTCTATGCCTTATTTAATCAGGTCTTGTGATTGTTCATTGCATATCCGAGATCAAAAAATGTCATTGATAAATCTGGAGGAGCAAGACAGTGACTCCAACATCCCATGGTTCAGATTAGGTAAAGGCAAAGTGGGCACTAAACAACAGAATAAAATATTGTTTAATGATTGACAACACTGCAACTGTGGATTTTTCCTAAGCAATCTAATATGATTTACAATAACTCAATGTAAATATAATCCATTTCTCAAAGAAACATCTTGTCATTTATAGTTTAGCATGAAATATATGGCATGGAGAGAATGATTTTAATTCAGTAAGCTCATGCTTGTGCAGCAACAAAAGAGTAAGAAAATGTGCTTAAGACATAGAGTCAGGGATGTACTGGAGAGCTCTCAGCTTCCCACTGCAGGTCAATGGGAAGGAGCAACTGCTGTCTTCAGTTCTCCAGTGGGTCCCACACTGGGGTGTGTCACACATCCTCCTTCCAGCCTCAAGACTAAATTTTCGTGAATCTCTGATTGTGAATGTGCTGAATTACCTCACCCACAGGTATCTTAGAGAAACACATCTCCAGGCTGAGGGATGAATACACACACTGGTAAGAGTTTGGGGGACATTCCTCCAGAGAGCTGATGCTTTCAGGCTCCTGTTTAGTGTAGTAGTCCTGCCTGCCTATAGCTGAGCAAGTGAAGACTCACAGGGCTGCACAGTCCATGACTGCCTGTATTTTCAACTACAAATATGACCAAAATAAAGCCCACTTTCAGAAATGCTTTCATTAAGCTGCATTGCCTTCCTTCTTCAGCATAGGTAGATTTATTAAAACAGGTTTAATCATGGGAAACTAGACACCTCTTCTTCACAAGCAAACACTCTTTTGGTTCATATGCTTTTTTAGAGACTGAAGGGAATCTTTATGTGAGAGCCCCATCACAAAGTACTGGCAGCAGAGTAAGAGAAATAAAGCTGTAGCTTCATGATTATATTTTAATAGCTTTCTTTTTATTTTAAAATACTTAAACCTAATCCCCAAGTTAGCCCAATCACAGTCTCCAATGCTGCATTGTTTTCAGCTATTAGCAGGTGGATTTTAAAGCCCTCTTTAGATGATACATGGGGCCCACATAGTGAAGTCAATTGTTAGACAGGATATAATTTAGACTTCAGCTCTTCCTCTCAGTTTGAAATAAAATGATTATATTTCAGGAGAGCCTAAGGGGAGATTAAAAGTTTTATATCAAAAGTTGAATATTTTCTTTTGTTGTACACTCTTCTCTTAAAGAAAATGGTATTCATTTAAAATAATGCATGTTCTGATGCACTTGAAAAGGCACTACTCTGAATTAAAAAGAAATTCATAAAGTATGCATGTATGGGAGAGAGAGATTGCAATCTTCATCTGAGTGTTTAGTCAAAGGTTTTTAACTCAGTCCATTATGCTTTGTTCATAGGATGAGATGCATTGTATATAACAGATGGCCTGAGAGCACCAGTTACAGTGACAATATCTTCTGGGGTTTCTCTCCACAGGCAGGTTATAAAGCGGTATTAGATGCTTTGTTTCAGACTGGAAAATGGTCCTTGCCTGTATTTAAACCTGTTAAAAGGGGTTGCAGGCTATTACTCCACATAATTATAGTTCTGGTAACCCCTGTGATGCCTCTCATTTATTGTATCCCGAAGTTATGCAAGGGTAGAGGCCACTTGTAGAATACAAAGTTATAAAGCTGAAATGGGTCTTAAAAATAAATGGAATAGCCCAGATATGAACAGTAAGAAGTGAAGAACAAGATACGAACAGGATTAAGTTATCATCTGAAAAGGTCAGATAGCTTTTACAGTTGATATCAATAGGGCTATTTTACCAATGATGCCCTGTGCACATTTGTAAAAAAGCATTACCTATTAAAGGGAATTCCTGGAAACCCCCTAAAAGAAAATGTGTATATGCGGTGAAGTCCCGTAGGAGTTCATCACACCAGCCAAATGAGCATTGATCTATTTTCAGAAGACATCAGAAGAGCCTAAATATAACACTGGTAGTTAAGCTGTTGCTTTCATGCCTGTTAAAGAGTACAAAACCTCTTACTGTTACTAAGGGAAAATGGTCATTGAGCTGGCAAGTTGAAGTTTTCTTGTGATTTTATTGCAGGAAAAAAGTTAATTTCTTTCATTACATTCTTCTGAGAAAAAAAATAAAATCTTTAACCTGTTAGCACTAATGCATACTGCTGTCTTAATTCGGCATTAACAACATGGGTTTACATTAATTTGCTTAATACCAGTAGTGCTTGTTTTCACATTATGGACACCTGACCATGGGAACCTAGGTTATGACCATTTTGTTAGACTCCATATTGCCAGTTAAGTAGACAGGCAATAATAAATATTGGGGTTGCTTTAGAATTTAAGAAGGGTGGGTGGTCATGGAGCAGAATGGTGAAAGTGTGTGCTCATTTGATATTATCTCTTACAAAGGAGATGAATTGTTAATGTGCTGTCATTTCAGATTTCTAGAAGAACTGCAGTAGTGGGGGAATTAAGACGACAATTAATGGCCACTGAGGAAGAAGACAGTTTATCATATTCTCCCCTGAATGTGACCACTGGAAATGATATATGCATCCTTTTTTACGCTAGTAATTTCAGCCTCAAAACCAGCAGCTCAGATTTTATAGATTTGACAAATGCAACATTTGTAGCACGTACTGTGGATACTTCTTCCTCTGAGTGCTCAGACAGCAATACAACGTGAGTAGCACAAGAAATTTTGTATCATAATACATGTGATTCTGAAAATTAATCAGAAATGATGCATGTCAAGTTGATACTAATTTTAATTTTCTTCTTCCAAAGCGTCCAAATTAAAAAAAAAAAAACAACCCAACCAAACCAAAACTAAATTGGATATTCTTAGAAGAAAAATATGGAGTCAAGACCACTAAAATTGTTCAGATGCAGTCCCTTATTTTCACAATTTTTTCTCTCTTACAGTCCTTAATTCTTTGTTGGTTTATACTGGTCCAAACATGTTTCCCTGTGCCCGATCTCACAGTCACAGAAATCTCCACTGGCATTAGTGAGACCATAATTTCATTGTAAAGTTCCCTTGAAGGGAAGTATTGCCAGTTAGTGGGTAGTAATTCAGCTGGAAGTACATTAACGAAACATGATCTCTGTTTTCCTTTACTTTGAAGCACCTGCTCCTAGGTGAAAAAAAAAACCTTTAGAATTATTCTTCTGTGTACTGAACTTTTGCTATATGACTTTTGTAATTGCCTGTTGATTTAGAATATTCCCTCTGCTTGAAATGTCACAATGATTTAATTAAAGCTGACTACTGTAACATTAAAAATCTGTTTCTTATACTTAGACTGTCATTAAAATATACAAGGCCAGTGAATAGAATCAGCAGCCTAGAGATAAGGTAAGTTATCATTTATTCTTAAATAGACCTTTGTGATGTGCAAAGCCTGTTTGTAAATTAGAAGCAAAACAAGAAAAGAAGTGAAAATTGCTTTGAAATTACAATTTCCTTTCTGTTCTGAAGAGTTACTATGCAGGAGAACAATAACACAATCTTTATAGAGAGATTATATTAATATGCTCAGGTGAAGGTCTGAAAAAGTGGTGTAGGCAAACATACTTTAAGGTACTGGTATATGCATCATCCTGTTTTGCTAATAGGATGAGATAAAATCCTGTTTCAGGGAAATCTAACTGTGATTTGTAAACAGTTCTAGGGGCTGAAGTCTGCTTGCATGGCCAGAGTATTTAGTCTGAATAGGGATTACCAGTGTACTTTGTCAGAGCTAGTTTGTGGCTAAGAAGGGGTGCAAAACCTCATAATTTTCCTGCCTCAGGGATGGTGACAAGACCATGTTTCTCCTAACATCAGAAGAGGGAAGAAGAGTTAGGGAATGGGAAGACTTGGGATAAAAAGATGAGTCAGCCATTAACCTAGCAGTGAACCTAGCAAGTGCACCAATAAACCATACCCCTGAGTGTCACATCTACACATCTTTTAGATACCTCCAGGGATGGTGACTCAACCGCTTCCCTGGGCAGCCTGTTCTAATGCTTGACAACCCTTTCTGTGAAGAAATTCTTCTTAATATCTAATCCAAACCTCTCCTGGAGCAACTTGAGGCTATTTCCTCTTGTCCTACTGCTTGTTAGGTGAGGGAAGAGTCCAACACCCAGCCTGCTACAACCTCACTTCAGGCAGTTGTAGAGAGCAATAAGGTCTCCTCTGAGCCTCCTTTTCTCCAGACTAAACAACCCCATTTCCCTCAGTTGCTCCTCACAGGACTTGTGCTCTAGGACCTTCACCAGCTTTTTGCCATTCTTTAGACATGCTCCAGCACCTCAATGTCTTTCTTGCTTTTGGGCCCCCAACATAAGAAGGACATGGACCTGTTGGACCAAGTCCAGAGGAGGCCATGAAGATTTTCAGAGGGTTGGAGCACCTCTCCTATGAAGAAAGGCTAAGAGAGTTGGGCTTGTTCAGCCTGGAGGAGAGAAGGCTCTGGGGAGACCTTAGAGCAGCTCCAGTGCCTAAAGGGGGCCTACAAGAAATCTGGAGAGGGGCTTTTTACAAGGGCATGTAGAGATAGGACAAGGGGGAGTGGCTTTAAACAGAGAGTAGATTTAGGTTAGGCACTAGGAAAACAGTATTCACTATGAGGGTGGTGAGATACTGGAACAGGTTTCCCAGAGAAGCTGTGGCTGCCCCATCCCTGGAAGTGTTCAAAGACAGGTTGGATGTGGCTTTGAGCAGCCTGGTCTAGTGGAAGGGGATTTAGAACTTGATTATTCTTAGGGTCTCTTCCAGCTCTGACCATTGTATAATTCTATGATTCTTGTAGTGTGGTGCCCGAAACTGAACTCAGTGTTTGAGGTTCAGCCTCACTGGTGCTGGGTACAGGGGGATAATCCCTTCCCTAGTCCTGCTGGCCACACTAACTCTGGTACAAGCCACGATGCTGTTGGCCTTCTTGGCCACAGGCTGGCTCATGTTCAGCCACTGTTGACCAACACCTCTAGGTCCTTTTCTGCTAGAGATTTCCAGCCACTCTTCTCCAAGCCTGAGCACTGCATGGGGTTATTGGGACCAAAGTGCAGGACCCAGCACTGAGCCTTGCTGAACGTCATACCATTGGCCCCAGCCCATCGATCCGGCCTGTCCAGATCCCTCTGCAGACCCTTCAGCAGATTGATACACCCGCCCAGTTTGGTGTTGTCTGCAAATATACTGAGGGTGCGCTCAACCCTTTGTCCAGATCATTGGTAAAGATATTTAACAGAACTGGCCCAAATACGCCACTTGTGACTGGTCACCAACTGGATTTTATCTCCATTCGCCACCACTCTTTGAGAACTTGAAGCTGTTGCTCTCACTTGTGGATTCTAGGGATTGGGAAAATATCTGCTACTGTTTGAGAGTTACCATACAGCTGCTGGTCCACAATCCTCAGTTCTTTGTTCAGCAGCAGGAACAGCAGTTAAAATTATTTTCTTAAGCTCTGGCAAAAATAATGTGGCATGCTCTTGTCATGTAGCTACATCTGCTAATTACTTAAATTTATTTGGGAAGAATTTGGGCCAGAAAACTTGCATTGAAGTAAATTTACGCATGTAAGAGGATGAACTAGATGTTTGCTTGGGCAGCAGAAAGACAAATGACTTTTGCCATCTAAAAATACTTTTGCCATCTTGAAAAAGAGAAATCAAAATCCAAGGAAACCAAAGAGAGGAATATTAAAGTAATAATGTAGGAGGTAATCAAACTTGAACAACATTTTGATGGGAGAGTGGAAGAGGCATGTGACATCAAGCTGGTAAGCATGAAGGAATAGATACCATTACTTAAACTGAGATTGAAGAACATTCTAGATTTAGGTAAAAGGACCCCTGGAAGGACTTGGGTTGAATAGGATTGGTGATGAGTTTGACACTGTAATTAGAGTTCATAGACACTTTCAGTCATCATCAGAGACCATGATCTGTGTCAAAACCCAAACTTGCTTTGTTATTTAACATCTCCCCTCCACACCAAGCATCTAGAAATTTGTGAAAGAACATAATATACAGACAAGATTGCTGTTAGTATAGTATTTTTACTTTCTTTTGACTGATGTATTTAGCTGCGTCTTTAGTGATGGAGTCAAGCATTATTTTGTTTCAGTACTGTAAATATCAAAGGGCATGCATTTCCCTGAACACCATGGGGAATTAAGGAAAAATTTTCCTTGGATTCTATTAAAAAAATACTATTCTCCAACCAAAACTCTCCCCAAATTGGGTCTTTGCTTTTACTCCAAGGCACAAAATACCGTTTTCTCTGGTGCTGCCCTGGTGCTTCTGTCTACTATCTGCCTCACTCTTGTACAGACAGACCCACCAAAACAGTGCCTGGGATTCTTGTTCTGCATCTTTACTCATACTAGTGCATGTCTTAGCTGCTCTCCTGTAATCTGGTTGCTTTCTACATTTGCCCTGAATGTGACCATCGTTAGCAAAGTACCATGCTTTCCAGTAAAATTTCAGTTCCAAGAAAAAATCTCAATCAAAAAGCACTTGAAAGTCCTGTGGAGCATGACACTGTGCTGCAAAACTAGCAACGGAGTTAACGGATAGGTCTTTGTCGTGGTTTAAACCCAGAGTTTAGAGGAGTTGTTTTATTTAAAGTAGTCAACAGGTCTTGCTTAACTATACAACAGGAAACCGCAGCCTTAGGATGCTCATACAGAAGCAAAATACTTTGGCAGTTGAAACATTTATCTTAGATTTTGATTGCTCCAGCAGGCATAATAAGATCAAATGTGATGCTAGTGCAGTGCCTGTGTATGGACTTAATGAGGGTTATTCAGACTTATGCTTAGTAGTTCGTATTCTAAAATCTTACCATTTTAATTAATTATTGGAAGAAAACTTTAATGTGGTCATGAATCTGAGGTGCATCTGAAGAGAAGAAATTTGAAGCAACTCTGCAGGCACACTGCCGGTAAATTGAAAGAGAATATCAGTACAAAAGGTGAATGGTTCATGTTTTTTCCTATTCTGGAATGGGGTTTTTTTACATCCTTTGAGCTTATTGTAGTAAAGGCAGAAATACTTACAAAGTTTCTCTTGACTTGTGTCTACTTGAATACATTATAATTAAATACCAAAATGCATAAACAGCCCTTTGAAGCTGGGATAAGAAACTCAGGCTCCACAATAGGTGAGACTTGAAAAGAGTGTAGATGAAGTTTTGATCACTCTCATGACCAGCAAGTAATTAAGGAAGCATAGTCTGGCTGTGTTTTGCAGGAGAATTTGATTTACTCTGTTGGGTTAGGTGTGATCTAGTTTTTAATAGGCCTTCAGGGCACTTAGACACAAAAATACCTAAACTGATTATCTTTATGTATGAAACAGGTGCTTAGCAACAAAAAAATGGAAAAGGAAGAAGGTGGGGAGTGGCTTCCAGCAAAGTTGGGCACTTACTGTGCATTGCCCTGCTTGTGGGAGGTGTTTGCTTCTGTATCGCTTTTTTTTCCCCCTCTTTTTTTCACTTACTAAGCTGTCTTTATCTTGACCTGTGAGTTTTGTCATTTTTTGCTCTTTCTATTCTCCCTCCCTCCCTTGTTGCAATAGGGACTGAGAAAGCAGCTACATGGATGCTTGGCTGCTGGCTAGCATCAACCCATAACACCTCAGAAGCCCTTATGAAGAAAACTTGCAGCTAAAGACACACCTTGTTATTTGTGCTGTTTTCTGTTGGATTATCTCTTGACTTAAAAGACAATCACATCATTTTAGGCCTCTGTTAACTACCATAATGCAATATTGCATGGTGTATCATGCAAATTGTAAGATATACTCAACAGAAACAGAACAAACCAGTGATCTTTTCAAGATTCAGGAACACTTTATTCACCTTGTTTATCTCAGCATGTCTATTGTCAAGAGCTTCTAAAATGCACAGAGATACATTGCAGCCTCTGTTTTCCCTTTCTGTTTCACTTTTTGATTACATTTCTTGTTCAAGATGACTCCTTGGTAAGATTACAGTCTGCCTCAATAAACAGGACACAGGCAGGGCAAAGATGTGGGAAGGAACAGATCTTAGATCCCTGCCTGCCTTTTTTTCCCTTAAAAGGCCATTTACTGAGATGGAGGAGAGCATCCCTTGAAGACAGAAAATTACACCAGAGAGGACCAAGCTTTAATAGCTTGTTGTGGTTTAAGCCCAGCTGGCAATCCAGAATCACGCAGCCACTCACTCACTCCCCCCGCCTTCCTCAGTTGAGGGCTGCCTTCCACCTCCGATGCTTTCCCACAATACAGCAGGACCCATCAGTAAACAAGGCATACTGCTTTTCACTTTCTGACAGTTTATTATATGGTGGGGCCTCTTCAGCGCGCATCACCTCCTCCTCT